TTTTTTTTGCGGTACGCGGGCCTCTCACCGCTGTGGCCTCTCCCGTTGCGCAGCACAGGCTCCGGACGCACAGGCCCAGCGGCCATGACTCACGGGCCCAGCCGCTCCACGGCATGTGGGATCTTCCCGGACCAGGGCACGAACCCACATCCCCTGCATCAGCAGGCAGACTCCCAACCACTGCGCCACCAGGGAAGCCCTGAAGCTAATTCTTGATTCCTTCCTGTGATGTCACCTCTATGACCTTCAGCTAAGAGTCACTGCTCCTCTCTGGGTGTCCTACTCTACATGATTCTTTCTTTCCAGGTTCTGGGAATCCCACCCTCCCTTTGTCCTTTCGGGCCTCGGAGTGGGAACAGCCCTGCTGGTGTTCACCCAGCATCACACTACGCCTTGTACTTCCACTCGCCATGCACACCTTCCAGAGTAGGCCTTTCTCAAATTATCCTATTTCCAATGTGTCATCTTACTGAGGCCCTGCCTGATACAGAATATAATCGAATTTGATTTTCAAACTCAATCTGAGAGTTTTTGCCTTTTGATAGGAGAATTTCACAATTGTAGTGAAAATTTATAGACTTAATTTTATTTCTTCCACTTTATTGTACATTTGTGTACTTTCTTTTCTCTCTTTTCCTCGCTCTCATTAGATTGATGAGGTTTCTTTTCAGCTTTTTCTCCTCCAGTCATAAACTGGATTTCCATTCTGCTACTCAGAACTTTCCTGGCTTTAGCAGTTATTTTTATATTTCTATGGATATGTGAAAATTAAATAATGTCCTCCAACTTGCTCATTCCCTACCAGACATATATTTTTTCAATTTTACTAATAGTTGTCTTCCCAACTGTAATAACTACATCTTTCTATTGATGCATCAAAAAATAAGTAACAACTTTGCCTTCCAACCACACTCTATTACTAGCTTAATGCTTCACTTCTTCCACTGAAATGAAACCTTTAGCCTCTCCCGTTGCGGAGCACAGGCTCCGGACGCGCAGGCTCAGCGGCCATGGCTCACGGGCCCAGCCGCTCCGCGGCATGTGGGATCTTCCCGGACCGGGGCACGAACCCGTGTCCCCTGCATCGGCAGGTGGACCCTCAACCACTGTGCCACCAGGGAAGCCCAAATCTTGAGTTTGTATGAGATAATTATAGGATTTCAAACCCAGACAGTCATCAAGTTTTTCCTCACAGAATCTCTCTCCTGTTTCAAAATTCTTACCAGAGTATAATCTCCAGTTAACTGTCATATTCCATTTAGATATAATTGTAAATATTATGAAATTCGTTGTTCATCAATGTTTCCTGAACTTTTCATCTTCCCTATCATGAGATTTGATTTTCATTTGGTTAGAAAATTTTCTCAGAAAGGTACACAGGTAGGATATTTTCGGAGCCTTTGCAACACTCCAAAACTTCTTTACTTTGCTCTCACGTGGGGATGAGAACTTCCCTTGATAGAGGGATATTGCCAGTGGTCTGTAAATATAAATGCAAATTGTCTGATTCAACCAAGCTTACAGATAAGAAATCTATTACTAGTCTAGTTATCTTTCCATTATCAATTGCCTTTGAAAGTTTTGTTCTTTGTCTAGAAGCCTTGTAAGATTTTCAACTATGATGCCAAATGGTGATTTCCTAAATCCGTCATTCCTTCCACATTTATTAGTGAGCATTATATAGATATAGTGTTGTATACTGTAAGGAAAAGCTTTTTCTTCTCATGCATTCATTCATTTTTGTATATTAGTATGAACTCACGGTTGCTTAATTTATTCAGTAGGCAATATCTGTTTCTATCGTTGTTTACTGACCCTCAAATTGTCCCGGATTTGCCTAGCCCCTTTAGGCTGGCTTTCAGTTCTTTTGACATATTCTCATCATTCTTTGAACACTTCTGTACTTTCTGGCACACACACAAAAATTTTCCAGGCTTATCTTATACTTTTCCAACCCCAGCCCTGGAATCAAGTATATCTTCAAAGAGCTTTGGGCTTTTTTTTGTTTTGTTTGTCTGTCTGTTTTTCTTTTGTTATTTTTTTGCAGAGAATGGTATTTAGTAACAGATCTGAACAGTAGGTATGATCAATGTTTTTGCAATGGCATTGCCCTCAGGCTCTCTCAATGGAAAGAGCTAGGGCATATATATCTACACACATACACACACACACACCTATATACATATACTATCAAAAACACAAAATGACTGATATATCCAATTCTGATTTTACATACCGCAGGGTTTATTCCAGTTTCCTCCCTTTCCATATTTGTAAATCCTTTTCCTAAGAGGGAGAAGGCTGGCCCCCATAACCCCAATATATTTGTTTGTTGGATCAACCCCCAAGGTAATCAGTCCCTTCTCATCCCCCCGGCCCCCTGAGTGGGCATCTACTCACCTCGTTCTGCAATAGCCCACATGTACGGATGCTGTCCCTATCTTGCGTGGGCGCACATGCCACGCCATTGCTACAACGCCACGCCATTGCTACAACCCCACTCCATGCAAAGGCCTTTCTCATCCCTCCTGGGAACCACCTCCTTGCACTGGGCCACTAGCACCCAACTCTCCAATGTGGATACTTACTTTTGCTCAATTTCACCTACTGGCTTTAGTACCAAATTATTAAAGCAAGAAAGAATGAAGGAAAGAAAGAAGGAATGAAGGCAGGCATTTAGAAAAAAAATTATCTATCTATACATATATGTGTATGTATATGTATACCTATATTTATATGTATATATTCCAAAACCCCCATCACCATATTTGATGCCCTTTCTTTTATTACTTTATTTTCTTTTTCTTATTACCAAAGCAAGTCATACAAGCAATGTAATACTGATAAGTGTAGGAAAGGAAAAACTTTTTCTTCTACCCTCTCAGGTTTTGTATCTGGGAGCCTACAATTAAACTGAGAAAAGACAGATTAATAGGAGAAAAACTGTGTGTTTCTTTAGAGATGTTAATATTTTCACATGCACAGGGGTTTCAAGAAAAAAGTGAAAACCCAAAGAATCCGTTAAACCAGTGGACTCATGTGTGTATCGTTTTCAACAAAGGGTAATAAATTGTGGAGAAGTGAGCAAAGGAAAAGGGGTTTGGGGCCTCTGTGGGTAGTAAACTGTGGAAAGATGACTAGGAAATATATGGGAGACAAAGCTTGTTTAGTTAGGCAGATAAGAGCTATATTTCTCCTCTTCCTGGAGAGGAAAGCACATTTACAAATGGAAATTTAGATCACCTTTACCAAGGGAAATTTATGCCCCGGTTTTAGGCAGAAAGGGGGAGGCAAAGCGTTCTTCCTGTGTCACCTCTTCTCAATTGCCTTCAGCTCAAAATAATCCTTATGCCAAAGTAGCATATTTTGGGGTGGTATGTTCTGATTCCTTTCACAAGCAAAAAGAAGAAAGTAAAGAGTACTTATAACTGGGCCAGCTGCATGGGCATGTGACCTGTGCAGTCACACAGAGCCCTGCACTCAGAAGGCTCCTGTACTTGGTTCAATGCTCTGCTGTCACCATCCTGAAATTCTTGGTAATTGTTGAACAAGTGTAGGGGAGGGAAAAAAACGTTCCCTCTACCCTTTTGAGTTCTTGGTTGAGGCCCCCTTGTTAATAAAAAACAGGTTAACAAGAGAAAAAAACAAACAGGAATTTATTAACATGTATACTTCATGTATATGTGGAAGGTACCCAGGGAAAATGAGTAACTCTCCAGATGGCCCAAGCCACTACCTTAAATACCATCTTCTGCTAAAGACAGGGAGAGACCAGTTACGGGAAGTTACCAGGAAAAGCAAGGTAAACAAGGGTAAAATTTGTTATGCAGAGTGAAGTCTGTACCTTCTCTATTATTAGTAAGATTCTCTTGTGATTTAGTCAACCTGAGATTCCTGGTACTGAGAGGCACAGAGACTTCCTTTATAAATGTAAATGTCCCTTACAAAAGGGTAACTTCTCTGTTTTAGAGCTTCTGCTGTGTCTGCAGGCTCTCAAAAATTATCAGTTTAAGGTAATAATCCCTATGCCAAAGAGGCATATTTTGGGGTGGCATATTTTGCTACCCTTCACAAGGGTCCCTGCATTTTCATTTAACTTCCATCATTCCTTTCTAAGAAAGTAGGCATGTTTTTATTTTTACATATTTTAAAATGAAATCACAGGTGCATATTACGTTATCTACTTTTTTCAGCTGAAAAATTTGTTTTATTTGTCAATATGGTATATGTTCAGCATTGTTTTTAATGCCTGCATAATATTTAATTATATGGATGTACCATTAACTTATTTAACTAATTACTTATTACTGAACATATAGATTATTTCTACCTATTAAACATAGATTATTTCTAGCTTTTTAACATTACATTTTGGTTAATGGTAGGCTTGGGTTAAAATCCTTCCTGCATCACTTACTAGTTTTATCACCTTAAAACAGATTCATCTATCTGAATTTCAATTTCCTCATCTATAAAATGGGGAAAATAATAGACTCTCATAGTGAAACTGAGTCCCCCTAAAATCGAGTTCCCCTGCTGAGTTTATGACAAACCTCTCTATCTAAAACTTTATTCCCTTTTTTGCCCCATCCCTGTTCCCCTCAGGATTGAGGAGTACCAAAGAAAAGAGGTGACTGAAACCAAGCAGGACCCTGCAGGGCCCTCCTGTGTACAAAAACCCCTGTGTTCCATGTTTTCTTGTTTGTAAAAAAAGGCTTTAGTCTTCTAGACCTTCCCTCAGTTCAAAGAGCAGACTCAAGTAGTTACTAATTAGGAAAGTGAGGGAATTCAGAAACAAAGGAAAAGCAGTCAAGAAACAATAGTTCAGCAATGAAACAGAGTCCTAGTTTCTCAAGAGATATACATAACAATCTGATGCATATCTTTGAGTTGTTTTGTAGAAACAAAGACCTCTGTCCAGGTGAAGGATGGTGACTACATTCTGAGCACAAGCACTAGACCCCAGACCGGTTGGAACCAGAAGGTTGATGATTATGATTCCTGAAACATCACCTTGTCACGTCACCACCAACCAATCAGAAGAAAGCCCAGGAGCTGTAAATCTCATCCACATGTTGCCTTTAAAAACCCTTGCCTGAAAGCCAATAGGGAGTTTGGGTCTTTTGAGTGTGAGCTGCCCATTTCCCTTGTTTGGTGCCCTGCAAATAAATGCCGTACTTTCCTTCATCACAACCTGGTATCATTAGATTGGTTTTGCTGTGTGGCAGGCAAGCAGACCCAAGTTTGGTTTGGTAACAATAGCTATTTTTTAATTTAAGGGTTAAATGAGATACTACATACAAAGCACTTTGTGCCTGGTACATAGTATTTGCTTAATTAATTTTTCCTCAGTTATAAAATGGGAATCCATCTCACAGCATTTTTGTGATAATTAAATGAGTTATTATACATAAAGTGCATATAATAAGTTCTCAGTAAATGTTAATCTGATTATCAACTATAAACCAATTCAGAGATGATTGATAATAAATTATCAATTAAAAGACCAAAAAGTGAAAAACAAACTCTGTCATTTATTTATAAACAGACAAAAATACTTTAAAAAACAGTTTACAAATGCTTCTTTGACCCAAATATCTGAAACCAAGAGGAATTATGTGCCCAAACCTTAGTTTACTCTGGTAAGTTTCTGGAACACAATGGATAGTTGTACGTTTTATTTAGATTACTGGGCCCATTTTCAATCATGCCACTGTTGAAGAGGGAAAATTTTCCCCTACCCCCTGGGTTCTTTTGGCTGGTATAATAATTAGATTGACACAAGACAGACTAATAGGAGAAAACCAAATTAAATTTTGTGTGTTCAGAGGTCTCATAGATATGGAACCTAAAGAAATGACCAGAGCAGGCAGCTTTTATACTTTTTTAGACAAAGAAACTACACATTTGTGAAGAATTGACAAGACACAGAACTTTGGGCTTGGGGTAGTAAAGTAACAAGTGTTGTTTATACAGCCTTCTGAGCACTGACTTCTCTCTCTCTGGTGATAAGAATGTCTCCCTACCTCCTGGTGCAGGGAGGGTACCTTTCACACGGGGGATTTATTTCCTGCTTTCAGGGAGACAGAGGAGGGTCAGAGTGTCCATCTTGTATTGGCTGTTTCTTAAGTAATTCAAAATAATCAATATGTCACTTTGGCACATTTGGGGGCAGCCTGCCCTAACACCATTAATTCCAGTTTTAAAACCAGAACAATATTCCCTCTTCATCTGTGTTTCCTACAGTGAAGAAAACTAACATTTTCCTTTTACTGGTTCCATATGACTCTTTTTATCTAGCTCTCAGGCATATTTTGGACTAAATTCTTATGTCTTTTAAATTCTTCTCTAGTAGTAGACATTTGGGATGTTTGTTCGGGTATCTGGACCGAGGTCAAATATTCATCACTGCCTATTTTAAGTATCTTGAACAAAGTTAAAGTGGTTTCTCTTCCTATTCTTTTCCATCTTATTCTCCTCTCCAGGGTCCAGATCCTGCAAGTCTGGACATGCCCTTCAAGGGGCAGCCCCAGGCGAGGTGAAGTGATCTAGGGATTTCCCTACCAAGCCTGAAACTGAAACCTCTAAAAACTCATCTTGATTTCTTTCCACATTCCTTTTCATTCGCCTTTCTGGCACAGTCCTCCTCTTTAGCAAACTTCTTATCCCTCCAGAGCCTCTAAGCCGGCTGCACGTTTCCGTGCCTCTGGTCTTGCGGTCCCATCTCGGCTGTGGCGAGGTTGTGCCCTCTCTTCTGAAACCCTCCTTGTTTCAAAGGCTCTATTATTTAGTCAGAGGCATCGTTGCCTCAGGGAGGATCAGCATTATTAAGGCAGGAATGTAAAAACAAAGAAAAAATTATTGTTCAGCTTTTGTGTTTCAAGAATAGACTTTTGAAACCCAGAGCTGAGACAATAGTTGTGAAAGAAAAAAGTATATATATCAGGGCTTTTTGAGGGAGAAAAGGTTTTTTCAGTTCCAAAAGGTTAGTTTTCAGTATCAATAAAAAAATCCCCTAATGAAGTTTACAGAAAAATTACCTTGCAAAGAAAGTAGTTGAAGAACCTACCAGGCCAGAGAGTAGAAAAGTGTTGCCCCAGAAGAGGAGTGGAAAGTGGCTCAGAGCACATGGATGGCATGTGGGTCAGAGAAGGCATATGTCCCACTTCCTTAGGGGTTGAAAGCTTGGAGGGTAGCTGAAGAGACTCTACTGACAAGTTTTCAAAATGCCAAGATGGGGAGCCTCCTGTCCTAAGATGGAGCTCTGGGATGGCCGGAAGCCTCATAAGACCCACACAGAGCCTGGTGCAGGCTTACTCACCTCGTTCACCCGGGAAGGTGCAGCGTGCAGTCAGTGCTTCCAGGCCCTGGCGGGGGATGAGAGGGTTTTGTGTGTGTGTGTGTGTGTGTGTGTGTGGGTGTGAGAGAGAGAGAGAGAGAGAGAGAGAGAGAGAGAGGGAGAGAGGGAGAGAGACAGAGAGACAGAG